ACCTCTTGTATTCTGTTCGTGAAACTTTCCTCTGTGGTTTCTGTTCAAATTCCTAATTTGTCATTTCTAAAATGTCCTCAGTTTTCTTTGTTGCTTTTATTTCCATGTTCAGGTCTTGAACACTTTTATTCATTTCCTTCCACTATTTGTGTTTTCCTGGATTTAAGAGATTTATTAATTTTTTTCTTTAAGGACCTCTATCATATTCATAAAGGCTGTTTTAAGGTCTTTTCCTTGTGCTTCAGTTGTGTTGGAATTTCATCACTTACTGTATTAGGCTTGCTGTGCTCTAATAAAAATATGTTGTCTGGCCGTTATTGATTTTATTTTAATGCTGGCATCCAGGTATCTGGGATTGGGAAGCTTACAATTCTAGGTGCTGATATCTGGTTTTGTCTTTGTTCAGTGTGTGCTTTGTTTCTTGGTTTGTTTCATCAAAAAAAAAATTTTTTTTTTTTTTGAGTGTGTTGTCTTGTAGGGTATTTTCTGCGGACCTGATAGATGTGGCCACTGGTGATTCCAGGTAAAATGTTTCTCTGGATACTCTGACACTTAGAATGGGGATGGCTAGGGACTTGAGGGGGTCCACAGGAGAGAGGAGAACAGAATGTTTCACCAGGATCTATTTATTTAATATCTTGAATGGGGGCAGAGAGTGAAAGGAGGTGATCCCAGAAGGTCTGCTATAGAGCCAAGTATGAGATTGGGAGATTGGATCTGGAATGAAAGGAGAGGTGAAGATCTGCAGTCCATCTACCTGCTTCCCAGGCAGAAGTGATCTGTGGGTTAGCTAGAGTTGAAGTCTGGGATAAGCAAGTTGAGGAAGGAAGGTTAGGAGGGGATGGTCTTTGGGATCCACAAGAAGTGTGGGCAAGGGGAGAAGGAAGGCTGCAGCAGGTGTTCTCTACTGAGCTGAGATGAGACTGGGGGGTTATATTTGAAGGAGAGAAGAAGAGATGAAGATCTACAGTCAGCCTACCTACTTCCCTGTCAAGAGTCTGACCAAGGCAACTTATAAAAGAAATAGCTTAATTGGGTGCATAGTTTCAAAGGATTAAAGTCCATGATGACTGAACAAAGACATGGCAGCAGGAACATCTGAGAACTCACCTCTTAAACTGCAAGAAGGAGATAGAGAGAGCCATGTTGGGAATGGCCAGAGTCTTTTGAAACCTCAAAGCCGACCACTAGTGACACACCTTTTCTAACAAGTCCACACCTCTCAATCTTTCACAAACAGTTCTACCAACTAGGGACTAAGAATTCAAACATATGAGCCTATTTTTTTGGCGCGGGGGGGGGGGAATTCTCATTCAAACCAGCACACATCACAACTTTCTTTTCTTGATATTTGGCCTCAGTATGGCTTCAAATCCACAATCCTCCTGCCTTCACTTCCTAAACACTGGGATAACAAATGAGTACCACCACATCTGTCCTTATAGTAGACTTAAAATTTAAAAAGAATGAAGTTTGAGTAGCAATCCCCATCCCATTGGTTTTATTCTTGTGGACACTGTTTTCCCATTTCCATAGTTAATGATTTATCTTGAAAAGAATTCATTTTTGGAAGTAAAATATCTAGGGTAGTAATAAACCTGACAACTGTGATATTAACACATAGGAAAATATAATTAAAATTAGCCCTAGGTGGGAGGATAGAAGGACCTGGAGGGGACAGGGGCTCCACCAGAAGACCAACAGAGCCAACAAATCTGGGCATATGAGGCCTGTGGAGACTAAAGCACCAACCAAGGACCATGCATGGAGAAGACCTATATATCCTCCTTATACGTAGCTGATAGGCAGCTCAGTCTCCAAGTGTATTCCCTAGTAAGGGGAGCAGGTGCTGTAGCTTACATGGACTCTGTTGCTTGCTCTGTGATCACTTCCCCCTGGCAGGGACAGTCTTGCCAGGCCACAGAGGAGGAGGATGCAGGTAGTCCTGATGAGACTTGATAGGCTGGGGTCAGAGGATAGGAGGAGGGCGCCCCCTTTCTGAGGACTAGGGGAGAGGTGCGGGGGGAAGAGGGATAGATGGTGGGATGTGGAGGAGATGGGGGCTATAATTGGGATGAAAAGTGAATAATTTTAAAAGATAAATTTAAAAGTATGCTAATAGATTCATATATTAAAAAAAGGAAAGAAAATTAAGTGACACTCTACCTGAAAGTATTTCATACATTTAAGGTGTAACCAAAGATGACAACTAAGAAAGAGAGAGAAGGAGAGAGAGAGAGAGAGAAAGAGAGAGAGAGAGAGAGAGAGAGAGAGAGAGAGGAGATATGAAGTACCTTAAGAGGATGGGGAAACATTTAAACACTTACAAAGAAAAGACATGTAATTTTTTCTGTTTCAGCAGAAGAAAGTATTTTCAGTTTTCTTCCTTTGACAGTTTAATAGACTGAAAGTCTTTAGCAATTCAGTTTTACCAAGCTATTTTTTCTCCTGAAGTTGCCATGTGGTTACATGTTGTCTAAATCATTTAGCAAATTTAATACTTGCTTTTTGCTGTATTAAAACTGTCCCCAGGTTTTCTTCTGAAAACAAAATAAAAATAAAACAAAATTAGCCCTAGGGCAAAAATTGAAAAAACAAACACACAAACAAATGAAGCACCAATCTGGGGCTGCTAAGACTGGCTTCACTGGGTAAAGGCATGTGCCCCCAAGCCTGGGAACTTGAGTTCCACTTCTGGCCTACATTGTGGAAGGAGAGAAATGACGCTAGAAAGTTGTTCTCTGACTTCCAAATGCTATAATGTACTCTCTCACTTCCTCCCCCTTTCCTCAAACACACATACAATAATGAAATTTTAAAGTATATAATCTGATATAGAAAACAACAATTTGAGAGGGCACTAGAGTTCAACAAAGTTTTACTTCTCTCCAAACATAATTTCATATTTAATTTTACCTAGAACTATCCAGAGATGCTCCACATTTGAGTATTCCATCTGGAGAGCTCCTCTTGTGTAGAATGAAATGCACTGGCAGGATGTCGGGGAGATTGGTTGGTTACGTGAGTGGCCAGACTGACCTTCCAGTCCAACAATGCTCCCTGGATCTAGCACACTCAACATTGTTAGCCTCCTGAAGTTTTAAGCACCAAGGATTACAGAACATCCACATAGAGTGGGTATCATTGGAACCTCTCCACTATGCTCCATATGTGAATGTTGCAGAGGACAAAGGGAGGTGGAATCAAGAATTCTAGCCAGAAGGCTTTTTTGATGGGTGTTTTGAGAACAGCTTAAACTAGCACCTGGATTTTGGAATTCTCACAGGGAAAAAGCACTGTAAGTGTTTGTATTCATTTCGAATACCTGCTAGGAAAAGTCCTTGAGATAAGAGCAGTGGGTGGAAGCAGTCGTGAAAGGATTACAACTGTGAGGAGAACTAAACTTTAGAAGTTATTTTTAAAGGGTCTTTAATAGCTCTCAAATGTCATAATACGATCATGCTTTCTTGTTCTATCATGTTCTCCTTTCTGTTTCTGAAAACGGGAAAAAAAAAAAAGTCTTGCGATCCAGATGTGATTATTAAGTACTGCTCAGCAGATTTCTGAATGCAGACTTCACACAGCTTTCGGGTGCAGGCCAACGGTGCCAGCTTTTTCCTAACCTTCTGAGACATTCTAATTGGCCCTACTGTCTTGTAAACACAACTTAGTTTTCATAAATATATTGAGTGGACCCAGGTACCAGAAATAGCAGGTTGTCTCATTGAAAACACCCTTGGAATGAGCCCTCTATGAGAGATAAACACATGTTCCCTAATTGATTAGAAGGCCTTAATCGTGCTCCTATGGCTTAACCAAGAACATTGTCCTAGGGCTTTCCTCTGCCTGTGTATCAGTTTACACATGCTGGCATTAAAGGTAGTTAGTTATAACATCAACATCATGTACCATCTTAGAATTCCAAAGCTGCATCCACCCTTTTTCAAAAAAGCCATTAAATATTCCACGGTTTATCATTAGAATTTTCCTCTGTAATTGATGGTAGGAGCCAGGCTGCCTTGTGTGGCTCAGTTGATATTGGTCAAAACACCCGGTGGATGGGAAGGACAATTAAGGAGAGTAATGAAGAATACACCTGAATTTGGACAGATGTTTTTCTTGACTTTTGTTTGTTCGAGCCAGATGCTTGGGCTTTTGAACTCCTGGGACTCAACTTCCGCTGAGTAGCTGGAGTTGCAATTTCATTTTTGCAACAAATCTTTTTATGCGTTTTGAAAAGCTAGCAACTTCATACCTCTTTATAGGTATTGATGTAAATCTTAGCTTTCTCTCAGCAAAGCCACATTACTTTAGAACAGCATCTCTTTTGGGAACAATTAGCAAGGAAAAGAAACAGCAAGAGGCTATGCTATCACCAGGTGGCACAGCTTTAATAACCTTGAAGAAATACCGGCGCACCCAAGATTTTGGTCAGATGCGGAGAAACGCACCGCATTTAGCTTGGCAGTCACTCTCCCTTGGGGTCTGTAGTCAGCTAGGAGGTCCTGTCGTCCAGGAGCTTGTGTCGCGGAGCTTAACCATTACGGCAGCTGGGCACCATGCATCCCGAGAAGTGTGGCTAGAGTGTGTTCGAACTTCCGGAGAAACCCGCTGGCTGCGCTGGCTCCGGACGGCGGAGGCTGAGCCCCTGGATGCCGTCCACCGTTCACTCCGCCTGGCCCCACGATAAAACCTGTGGACTCGGGCCGCAGGGCCCCGTTCCCGATTCCTCGTTTGTGACGACTGAGGGCGGAGCGCTTGGTGCGTGTCGGGACCAAATCCAGATTTTTATTTCCCTCCAGGATCGGACAGCTAAGTATGCTCCAAAGAACACGAACAGGAAAAGGGGAAGGGCAGCCTTGCGGGCAGAGGGCGGGTCGTTCCCAGCAGCGCCGCCGTCCCTATCCGCCCAGATTCCGGACCTGCTGGGGCCGGGGCGGGGCGTGCGCGTCAGCTGGGGCTAGAAAAGGAGGCAGCTCGGCCCCGCAGGGTGACAGCCCAGCTTGAATGCCCGGCCCGGCCGTCGCCGTCATGAGCGCCGCGCTTTTCAGCCTGGACAGCCCCGCGCGCGGCACACCCTGGTCCACAGAGCCCGCGGCCTTCTACGAGCCAGGAAGGGTGGGTAAGCCGGGCCGAGGGTGCGAGCCGGGAGACCTGGGGGAGCAAGCCTCCACGACCCCTGCCATGTACGACGACGAGAGCGCCATCGACTTTAGTGCCTACATTGACTCCATGGCCGCCGTGCCCACCCTGGAGCTGTGCCACGACGAGCTCTTCGCCGACCTCTTCAACAGCAACCACAAAGCGGCCAGCGCAGGCGTGCTGGAGCTGGCGCAGGGCGGCCCTCTAAGACCCCCGCATGCGGTTTCAGCCGCCAGGGGACCGCTCAAGCGCGAACCCGACTGGGGCGACGGCGACCCGCCGGCCTCCGTGCTGCCGGCGCAAGTAGCAGTGTGCGCGCAGACGGTGGTGAGCCTGGCAGCCGCGGCGCAACCCACGCCACCAACTTCGCCCGAGCCCCCTCGAGGGAGCCCAGTGCCGAGCCTCGCGCCCGGCCCCGTCCGAGAGAAGGGCGCGGGCAAGAGGGGCCCGGACCGCGGCAGCCCCGAGTACCGGCAGCGGCGCGAGCGAAACAACATCGCTGTGCGCAAAAGCCGCGACAAGGCCAAGCGCCGTAATCAGGAGATGCAGCAGAAGCTGGTGGAGCTGTCCGCCGAGAACGAGAAGCTGCACCAGCGCGTGGAGCAGCTCACTCGCGATCTGGCCGGCCTCCGGCAGTTCTTCAAAAACCTGCCCAGCCCGCCTTTCCTGCCGCCCACCGGCGCCGACTGCCGGTAACGCGAGGCGTGGGCCTCAAAGACTTCAAACGACCAATACCTCAGACCCCGACGGCGGGAGCAGGCGCCGCCAGAGCTACTGCAGTTTCTTTGGGACCTACGAGTGACAGGAAGCTGTGGCTTGGGCACTGGACTCCAAGAGAAGCTATATGAATCTTTCCCCCTTAAATTATTTTTTTTATAAGGGCAACGTTTTCTATGTCTTATTACCATTACAGCTAAGGTACATTTGTAGAAATGACTTTTCCGACAGACTTTGGCTCAGAGGAGGAGACTTCGCATGCTTTTTATATTAATTTTTACAGTATTTGTAAGAATAAAGAAGCATTTAAATCGCTGCAGCTTTCCATATTCAATCTTTCCCACACACAATGCCCTGGGACCTCCCGAGGGAGTCACCAGAACCAGGTGTGTTGCCCACATGGGGTAAGGAGATAAATGAGTTTGCTTTCTTTGGAAGCCTAGCAGAGTTGGCCTCCTCATGCTATTTTGCCTGCGGAAGGAACAAGGGAAAACAATGACTACTGCATAGCATGCTGATCTGGGCCAGAGAGCAGCTGAGAGTCCCCTAACTTTTTAGGTGCGTACTAAACAGTGAGAGGGTGGAAGAGAGCTCTCTTTTTACTTGTGTGGACTTTGCTTTCACTTTCCTCAGTATTAGGGACACCGTGTAGATTTCAAAGTGTGCATCAGAACAAATTAATATTGCAGTATATAAAAGTGACCGCTCCAAACACCATTAATTGTAATGTTTGAGGGTTTAAGCTATGTGTCTTTCTCCAAAGAAAATTGGGTGTTAGGAACCTTTCCCTGATCTTTGCACTGCTTGTTACTATGTTGCTGCACAGAAGACATATGTCCAGAAGACACAAAATGTCCAGGGTCCAAACAGGAAATTTTGTTTGTAATTCAAATCCCTGAACAAAGCACAGGATGGTGGACTATTGCACTCTGTTATCTTTGTCCTCTGAGGTTCTCCAGGGTCTCTGACAGGTGTGTGGTGAAGTGAGCTACAGAAATTTCTGCTTTATATAGCTCTTGTCACACCCAACTCACTTACACTGGCAGTCCTTAGTCCCTCAGAATACTAAAACCACAAAGCGTTTAGGTTGAGCATTTATTTATTGTAACAGAACAGCAATATCTCAATATGAGATGCTGGTTGAAGCTTTACATAATAGTCTTCCAGGAAATATTAAGTACTGCAAAATAAAAGGTACAATATTGGTAAAATCTTAAATACTTTAAAGCCAACAAAGAACATTTCCTAACACATCAGTAATATTGCCTAAGTAATGCAAAGTGAAGACACATGGATACTCAAACACGTCCTCAAACTTGTAGAAAGGTAAGAAAAAAAGATGTAATAAAGATTTTTTGATTTTTAATTTACAAACCATCCTATTAATCTCCTAGGAGAAAAAGAGAGCCTGGGTAGTTTAAAAGCATGAAAACCTCTGGAGTTAACAGGGCTCCCCTCGTAAAGGGCTGCCCTTACTGCAACCGCTTGGCCGGCCGTCTGGAAGGAAGGTGGGTGGTCGTGGCTCCTGCTGCACTCAGAAGCTCAATCTCCTCCAGGGTGACACAGCTGCTCTGTTGTGTGGTGATGGACTGGACAAAGCAGAGTAAGGGCCCCATCTCCTTCCCAAGGACATTCTCCACCTCATAATTCTGCAGTGACAGAAGCATGCTGGTTAAAGCGAACAGTCCTGGATTCCTGAACATTCTGCTCCCCCCCCCAAATGCCACCGCCAGCGCAAAGGCCCTTCCATAAGCTGCAACCTTCCTTCCTTCCAGTGGAAAATGTGTGTGTGTGTGTGTGTGTGTACTATAAAAATCCCCTTTATTATAGCAAATAAATGAGCTACTTTACTTTGATAGTTGAGTCTTGCTGTTTTCCGTGGCTGACAGGGTAAACTGGCCTAGGACAGGATTTGGAAGACAATATGCAGAGGAAGTGCTATTCTTCCATGGGGGCTGGGCTTTTGACTTGCATATGTCTCCCACTTCCTTTGGGGACACTTCCCCAATCTATAAACACTTCTGGTCAAAGGATTTCCTGGTGCTTGCCCTGAACTTCCCTCTTCAGTTAGATCCCATTTCTTCTTGAGTTACATGGGGCTAAACATTTCTTTCTGTGCTGTGGTAATATGACTTGAGGTTTTATGCACATAGTTAGTTTTGGGAAAATTATCTCATCTCCAGTCAGAGACACAGGTACTGGGCAAATTGTCTGTCCCTGATGTGGCTGTGCCCTGGATGGGCTTTTACACATATAACTTCAGAGCATTTCAGTAGCGGGGGGTTGGGGAGCTAAAAATAAAAGCTTGAACTGGAGGATGACAGATTGATAGTGCAGAAGGTACTGGTGAGTATTGCAGTGTGATAGGCACTGACAACGGGACAGCTGGCACCCATGGTTAAGTTGTTAGGACCAAGGAGATGGATAGCTAGAGAGGCCAGAAAATGTGGCCAACACAGATTTTGGGTCCTGATATTCTACTTGTATATTTAGTTTCATCCCAGGGCTGGGCTAGCCACAGTGATTATGTTCTCAAAATTATGCCTAGGACATAGTGCAATAGGAGGGATGCAGAAATGCCCTAAGCTCAGTTAGAAAATGTGGCCAGCCCAGTCAGGAGCTATGAGGAAGTTGGGCCAAGAGCCCTGGCTGGGGAGGCTTTTGTAATTGCAGCCCTGCCTTGAGGGAACCAGCTGTTGTCCAAGGAGCAGAGATGAACCATCCCATTGAAGCCCAGAATGGACTGTATGTCTGTGTGGAAAGGGCTAGGTGTTCTGCTTCGTAGAGTGATCGTCAGGATCAGTTTGGGATGTGAGCATGACATGCTGACTCAATTTCCCAATGTAGCTTACTTAATACTTTATAAACAAGCAAGGTCTACAGCGTGGTTCAATAGTCTGACGGGAAAAAGAGAACTGCTGGTCCAGGGAGGAAGATCAGCGACTTGGCAGGTGCTTTGCTGCAGGTTCACTGCTTGACAGTGAGGTCTGGACAGAGTGCCAGTACAGGGTCAGGTCATTAGTTGGCAGAAGGGTGATGAAGGAGGGACAGCTGAGTATTCAGTGTCTTACTACGTTACTTAACCAATGTTTGTATAAGTGTGAAAAGATGACCCAGGAATCCTCATGTTCTTCTCTGGTAAAAGTCTGCATTTTTGTTGTTGTTGTTTTCTTTTGAGATAGGATCTCATGCTATGTAGCTCAGGCTGACCTCAAACTTGCTATGTAGCTGAGAACAACCTTGAATTCCTGATTCTCCTGCCTCACCTCTCAAGTGCTGCAGTTATAGATGTGAAACACCAATGCCTAACTCCAAAGTATGTATTCGGTTTCATAAAAGTCAATGAAAAATCCTTTCTATGTAGAATGTTAGGTTTAGTTCTATCACCTATGAGTGGACCTTAAACTCATGTGTTTTATGTTCATAAATCATATATATCTTAGAGAAATCAACATGGTGAATTTAAAACATCCATATAAGCTCTGTCTATGTGAATATATATCTGCATATATAAAAATGTGTCTATCTGATTTTAAGTATATACTTATTTAAGTGCATGTCTTTCTGAGAAAAATGTGATGGGATTGAACCCAAGTTTTTCTGAATTACAGAAAACTAGTATTCTGATAAACTACAGCCTGTGTCTTACTACTTTTTTTTTAAAGACACAATATATGTTTGCCTTTTCTGAAAACTGAGAAACAGATTTCATCCCCACATCACATAATGTCACTAGTAAGAAACAGAAAAAAAAAAAAAAAAAAAAGTTAACCCTGCTGCTTTCAGTCACAGTGTGACCACAGTAAATACATATGGTTTAACATCCATGTATGTTAACCAGAAACAGCACATTTGCTCCAGGGAATGGAGTGTGGTTTTTATGGGGAGCCCTAATTTGATTCTCTGGATTTTGTGAATGTGCATTCTCACCCACAGAGGACCCACAGAGCCTAGAGTGAGTGATTTACAGCTGTGTCTGCTCACAGGCCTCTGAAAGCCATCTTCAACCTCCACTCCAGGCCAGAGGTAAAGGGCCCACTAATCACTGTGAGCAGAGCTGGGGGCAGTAGAGAGAGCCTGCTAAAATGTGCTCCATGCTTTGACTGTGCCCTTGTCCTACTGATCTAGACTTGGGAACTAGAGCACCTACAAAAGTGACACCAAGAGCTGTACCTCCCTTTGTCATTTTCTGTAACATCTGTGCACATGTATGTACAAGTATGCACACACAAGTAAATGTATATGTGTGTGTATAGCCAGTGTCCAAGTAAATTCCTCATATCTACGTGCATACTCACACACACACACACACACACACACACACACACACACACTACAGCCA